AAAAAAAAAAAAAAAAATTAAAAATAATACCAGAAGAATGAACCAAAGGATTTGAAAATGACTGCTTTAGAGTAATGCCCCAAAAAGGTCAAGGGACTGCTACACTTTCTGTTATAATCCTCACAGAACTATTTTACTTCTGAAACTATGCCCATGGAGCTTCTGATAAGAACCAAGCAGCTACAAGTGTGATGACCGCTATGGAGAATGGCATGCAGGTCTTGGATGAGGAGCTGTGACCCCAGAGAAGGTTACCTGACCAAAGTGGCATTAAATGGAGACCCGCAGGGTGAAGAGTAACAGCAGTGGGTGAAGGGGGAGGTTTTCTAGATGGAGGAAAAGGATGTGCAGATGGTCATTAGTGAGAGAGCACTTGGCCTGCAGAGAAACAAAGGAAACAGTAAGACTGAAGAGGCTGAGACTGAGGTTGCAGAGGAGGGGCGCTGCCTCAGGCCAGCTCTTTGCCTTTGGCTCAAGGTGTGGGAGCAGGAAGAGACAGGGCCCCCAGCGCCACTCGTCTTCTTCAGGGAGAGACGGGAGCCCCGGCGCCACTCCTCCTCTTCAGGGAGAGACGGGGCCCCCAGCGCCACTCCTCCTCTGTAGGGAGAGACCGGGCCCCCAGCGCCACTGCTCCTCTTCAGGGAGAGACGGGGACCCGGCGCCACTGCTCCTCTTAGACCTGGGTGGGCGCTTGCTGCACACTCCAGACTCTGCTACGGTCAATGCCAACTGCTTCAACTTCAAGCATCCACATTTCCCCATCATGCAAACCTGGCCTTATATTTATAAACTAATCAAGACCTTAGAACGGGAGGGAAGGTAAATAATTGTATTGACAGATTTCAGCAAACTGCTGTGTTCTCTGGCCACAAGGCAATAATGCTGAAAATCAGTAGCACGTCCAGCACTCATCTTGCCCGCAGAACACACTGCGCATCGGTGGAAATGGGCTCAGCCTCACAGAGCTCTACTGGTGGATCTAAGCACGTCATGGAAGTCTTGCTACCCTTTGCCAATTTTTAGACTATCAGTGGGCATGTGACCATCTCAGGTGAAGCGGAAGGAAGGTCTGTTGGGAACTTTCTCCCCTGCCTTTCCAGCTCATCCCTTGTTGTTGAGGACTGACCCTGGGGCTGTGCACCCTCTTGTGTCCATGCACAGGGCAGCAGCACCCGACGGCAGCACCAGAAGGAGGCTGGTCCCGGCAAACATCAATAAGCCACCAAACCAGAACTGCTGTGAACAATGACGCACACCGTTAAGGCTGACATCACTTTCAGTGTGTTGTTCGTATACTTGCAGCCAAATGCATCCTAATCCATCACCTCTCCTCACCCCACTTAAAGGAACAAAAGAGCCTCAGGCCCAGATGGTTTTACAATCGAGTTACCCCAAACTTTTAAGGAACATATCATCCCTATTTTCTGTTATTCCAGAATACTGAACAAGAGGGAACACTGCCCAACTTATTTGGTGAAGCTTACATGGCTTTGATAATAAAACCAGACAAGGACAATCATAGTCCAGGGTAATCCATGGTTAAACGTCAAACATCCTGAACGAGAATTAGTTATCAGAATGCAACAGTAAATTTGAAAAACACCGTGGGCAAGTAGGGTTTATTCAAGCTATGCACAAAGATTCAATATCAGAGTCTGTCACTGTAATTTACGGCACAAACGAACTCAAGGAGAAAACCCACAACAAACATGTTCATCTAAAAAGCTGCAGGAAAACAGCATCTAAAAAAGTACACCTATTAATGAGTTTAAAAACCTCTAGCAACTTGCTAAAAAGGGAATCCTATAATTAGATAAAGGCCAACAAACACCACAAAACAGAACAATAAACAAAGGGCAAACATCACATAAGTAGGGAAATGAAATGTGTTAGGTTCAGGAACAAGACAGAAACGCTAGGTATTATTACGTGTATTCACCACAGCTCAGGAGATCCTGTCCAGATTGAAAACAAAGCGGGGCAAAAGAAGAAGAGGCATAAAAGTAGAAAGGCACAGACAATAAGAATCACTGCAGAGATCAACTGACTTACTCAGAAAACCCCTAGAAGTCGGAGACAAAAAGATCTAAATGGTGTGAGATGCCACCATATTTGTGGATCAGATGATAACATTGTAAATACGGTATTTCCCCCATCTACAAATCCAATTCAAAAAACATCTCCAGCAGAATTTTATGTAGAAAATGAGGCAGCTTTAGAGGAAAAAAAAGAGGAAAGGTCTTTTCCTAGCAGCTATTAAGACATATAACAAGACTCTATTAATCAAAACAGTGCAATACTGACATAGAAGCAGAAGCCTTGGAAGGAGAGAACAGAACATGCTTTAACCTCATTTAACCACGATTTTCCCAGTATCATAAGCAACACAAACTGTGGCCACATCTAAATGTGAAATGTAAAAGGTTAAAGAAAATGTAGAAAAATCCTTGCACTCTCAGAATGGTGAAGAATATCTTAAATCTCCCCCAAGCAGCAATACAGTAAAAAACAAAAACAAAAACAATGGATTTAACATTAATCAGAATGAAAATTGTATTCAATATAAAACGACAGATATAATTTAAAAGATGGTAAAAGAACAGAAGATATTTTCACTGGCTAAATCAACAAGAGATTACTATGTAGAATATGCAAAGAACTCCAGTAAATCAGCAAGAAAAGACAGAAATCCAAGTGGAATATTACATATAGATAGTAAAGAGCATATGGTTCAATGTCATTAGTAACTAATATGCACAATCAAGATTTTTTCCATAAAGAGGTCCTGAAAAAAGGTCTCATGCATTTTCCTTAATAACTTTACTTATTTTCCAAATTGGGACGTTCCTCTTTATGTCTAATTTAAATTTTTCCTGATTAAGATTGATTATGATGAAACTATTTGGTCATCTACATTTTAAACCACACAGGCACAACAGAGGATCTTCACTAAACTGTTGTATGACATTATTCCAAGTCTCAACATGTTCATGAGCCACACTGTTTTCTAGAAGACAACAAGCTTGTTAGCAGAAGTTCAGAGGAAGACAGCATCAAACATCTCCCCTGGCACTGCTGTGGGAAGAGGTCCCCTCCACCTTGTGCGACTCCAACACAACAGGCCTTCCAGCACCTCCAGATCCATCTGACCCGTGCTAGGACACATGGTCCTCAACCAAACCTATTTTCTACGCCCACCATTTAAAAATCATATTTCTAACTTTTCAGTTTAAAATAATTTCAGATTTACAAAAGGTTGTAAAAACAGTATGAAGAATTCTCAACAAAGGACTAGTATCCAGAATCTACGAGGAACTCAAACAAATCAGCAAGAAAAAAAACCTCTAGCAACTTGCTAAAAGGGAAATCCTATAATTAGATAAAGGCCAACAAACAACACAAAGGATGTGTCTACCCAAAGGAAAAGAAGTCATTATATGAAAAAGACACATGGATACGTATGTTTATTGCAGCCCACTTCACAACTGCAAAGATATGGAACCAACCTAAGTGCCCATGAACCAATGAGTAGATAAAGAAAGTATGGTATATATACACCATAGAACGCTACTCAGCCATAGAAATGAATGGAAAAATGTCTTCTGCAGCAGCTTGGATGGAGCTGGAGTCATTACTGCAAGTGAGGTAACTCATGTCGTGTGTTCTCACTTATAAGTGGAAGCTAACGTATGGGTATGCAAAGGCGTACAGAATGGTATAATGAACATTGGAGACTCAGAAGGCAGAGGGTGGGAGGGGTGTGGGATTAAAAAAACTGCACGTTAGGTACAATGTACACTACTCTGGTGGTGGGTGCACTAAAATCTCAGAATTCACCACTATATAACTCATCCATGTAACCAAAAACCACTTGTACCACAAAAGCTATTGAAATAAAAATAAATAAAAAAGAAGAAACACACACAAAAAGCAAACAAACAAAAAAATCAAAAAACAGGCCAGGTGTGGTGGCTCACACCTGTAATCCCAACACTTTGGGAGGCTGAGGCGGGTGGATCACCTCAGGTCAGGAGTTTGAGACCAGCCTGGCCAACATGGCAAAACCCCATCTCTACTAAAAATACAAAAATTAGCAGGGTGTGGTGGCACACACCTGTAATTCCAGCTACTTGGGAGGTTGAGGCACGAGAATCGCTTGAACCCAGAAGGCAGAGGTTGCAGTGGGCCGAGATTGTGCCACTGCACTCCAGCCTGGGCAACAGAGCAAGACTCCATCTCAGTAAAACAAAACAAAATGAAATTTCAACATGAGCTTTGGAGGGGACAAACATTCAAACCATAGCCTAGCCACTGTGAGCTATCAAAAGACCTCTTGCACCTATCAACACAGTAATATATGTGAGTAGTGGATAAGGAACAAAGTATGAAAAGTACTCAGCCTGATGTTGTGAAAAAGTCTTCCAGACAACAAATGTAAGTGAAGGACTCTGTTCTCATTGATGCCAAATCTAAATGGAAGTTCTCCCCTATCAGGGGCACACTTGTACTGGGTTGAATAGCGTCATCTCAAAATTCTTGTTCACCTGGAACCTCAGGATGTTGACATTATTTGGAAATAGGGTCTTTGCAGATGTAGTTAAGATGAGGTCATACTGGTTTAAAGTTGGCCCTACATCCAATGAATGGTATCCTTATAAGAAGAGGAAAGGGAGGGTACAATCACACGTAGAGAAGAAGATTGTGTGAAGTCAGAGACAGAGACTGGAGTGATGCTGCCACAAGCTAAGCAATGCCAGGAACCACCAGGGAAAGGTAAGTTAGGATTCTTCCATAGAACCCTGCCAATGGCGCCACTTTAGACTTCTGGCCTCCAGGACACTGAGAAAACTTAACCCACCCAGTTTGTACTAATTTGTTGCGACAGCACTGGGAAACTAATATACTTAAAAACAGCATTTACAATTATAAATGCATAATACATCTCCTTTCATTTATTAATTAGAAGAAATGGAATTGATCTGCATGCTTTTATTTATAGGCACAAACTTGTAGCAATACTACACACAGTAAGAATGTGTGTCAAGTTGCATGCTATATGCATCCCACCTATCGTAAGGAAAGAATTTCAGTCAGCCATGACGGAGGTAAGGCTGACTTATTTCTATAGAGAATGACATTACAGAATTATTGTCACATGAAAATATGATCAAAGAGTATCCAGCAATCAAAAGAGATGGAAAAAGTATTATAGAGATATTTCAGAAAGCTAATTAATACAAAATATTATTGCTATTTTTATTGATTTTTGTTTAGGATATATTTCATGTTTTTTGAAATTTCTAATTTGTTGCAAGTTTTGGTCTTATTCTAAATAAATATTCACACTTGTAAAAAGAAAATATTATCATATGTTCCTAAACCCAAATGTTAACCTTTTATATAACCCTAGTACAAAGATCAAAACCATGAAATTAATGTTGCTATAATCTATCAATTAGCCTACATGCCTTCTGCAGGTCTGGTTCTCTGTCACACTCATGTCTTTTTTCGGAACTAGGATCTGATCCAGGATCACAGACTGCACTTGCAGCTATGTCCTGAGTCTCCTATAATCTGGAACAGTTTCTAGGTCTTCAATTGCTTCTGTTGACTTGACACTTCTGAAGAGTACTAGCAAGGAACTGTGTAGAATGTCTTTCACTTGGGTTGGTCTGAGGTTTCCTCATGATTAAATTCAAATATGCATTTTTGTAAGAATGCCATAGAAGTGCTGTTGCACCTTTCAGCAGGAGACACGTGAGGCTGGCCCGTGCGTTACTGCTGACCTAACTAGGATTACTTGGTGCAGGCGCTGCCTGCCAAGTGTTACGACTGTACAGCTGAAGTAACTGTGAAGTTACTGTTTTTCTCCCTGCCATGTACTTGCATCTCTGGAGAAACTACCTCAATATTCTGTGTCTGCACATAATTTTTCTCATTCCTAATTTCAGTAATGATGATCATTACTGTGGTGTTTGCCAAAGGTGATTTTCTATCCCCTGTCTACTATCTCTATGAGTTATATTCATTCTACTATAAGGGATTTTTCTTTTCCACCATTTATTTACTCATTTATTTTTATCAATGTGAATCAACAGATATTTCTTTTGTTCTCCCATTTTTACTTATTATCCTACTTGCCATTACTACCTTTACCTTCTTGCTCTAAAGGTCCCCTATCATTTTTAAACTTCAATACATACACACCTTCAATACATACATACCTCTCTGTATAATAATAAATAAATTATTTCTGTAGCATAAAAAATTATACTATTAATCTCAATAGATTTTTTAGCCCTAATAAGCCAAAAGATGAATGACTACATCAGCTTACCCAAAGTCAATGGTGGTGGTTTGGGATCAAGAACATATTCTTTTTCTGAATCTTCTAGTTTGGGGCACTGCATAGTTTTTTTAAGTCCAGTATCTGTTACTGCCTTTGTATCTCTTTTTAGAGATTTGTTCTCTTTCTTTTGTACTTGTGTCTTAGAATGATCTGCAACTGAAAGATTTCGAAGTTGAAGATCATGTAAAATGTGATCTTGTAAAGCAACTGCATTGACTGCCAAGTTATCTTTCTTAGATGAGTGACCCTAAAAGGTAGGAAAAAAGTCATATTTAGATGAATATTATGTAATATATCATTTAAAAGAGAACTGAGGCTTCAATACTCAACTTTGATGGCACATACGAACAAATCAAATAGTAAGGAACGCTTGACTCATTGTTTACCTAAGCAGGAGCAGACCCTCGTCTCAGCATTTATGTTAACAATACAGGAACATCTTTTCATTTAATTACTAAAGCCTTAATTATAATATGAATAAATTCATTATGACCTATAAACCTGTGCATGCCTAAACAAACCCATGCTGCTTCACTATAATTAAATTAGACTCCAGGCAAGTACTAAGGAGACTCTTGCCATTTCAGCTTATGCCTTTTTGTGAAAACTTGGTAATTTCCTGTGCAGAATAAAAATCACCAAACAGCTAAGAGATGCCTGCAGTAAATATCACCAGAGATTGTTTTTCCATCGGCCTATCCACTGCCCCATGCCACACTTGGCACTGCCCATTCCTGCTGACAATTCCTAGTTGAAGCAGGGTTTGTAAACTAGTTTTTATACTCTCAAATGGCTGAATTAAAATACATTTCATGAGTCAAATAATATGTATGTTTAAGAAAAGAATAGTGTACCTTATTTTTTAACATGCCGAATCAGGAAAAGTTGTTGCCTGGCTATCACAAACTCTATCATCACATCACATCACCTTCCTTCTATTCTTCTGCTGCAAAGACATGGTCAACAGAAAGTCAAAGCTACAGTGCACAGAAAAACCTATGCAGTTTGTGAGGACGATCTGTAAGAGTCTAACAGATCATGAAGCGGCAGGAATGCCTGCTACAGGGTGGCACTAAGTTACACATTCTGGTTCCGGAGGAAGGGGGTGAACTCAAGTCAATCATGCTTCGACTCATCCCTGTCCTCAAACAGTTCAGCCCTGAGCTCCTGAGGACACATTAATACAAATGGTTAATCACTAGGGATTAATCCATTGCTAAATATAACATGATACACAAGTACTACAAAATTTCAGGCTAACACTGGAGACTTGTAACGGAAAAACTAGTTAAACTGGCATTTGAAAGATACGTAGAGGGAAATGAACATGGCACACTGCAGGTAGGAGGAAAGAACCGGCAGGCTGGAAATCAGCATAATATGCTTCTTTTGGGGAGAAAGGGAACAATGAAGAAACTGGAACGCAAGAGGAACACTGGCTAACTTCAGTCTCTCTAGAACACAAAAGTACAGAATATGGGGACAGACCAACTTGAGTTCCAACTGAATTCCACCACTTTGCTGCACAAGATACTGAACACAGCTGAGCCCCACGATCCTCATCTATAAAGCAGGTATAACAACGCTGGCTTTGCAGGGTTGCCGCAAGGATTAATGAGACCTTTGAAGTATCTAAAGCAGGTCTTTTCACACGGAACTTACTGTTGTTATTCTTGCTTCAATTCCCTTCAAAGCTGGTGGAATAGTTTGGAATTGGCCCTTCTAGATTTTGGACATGGTGTATTTTATGAAGACAGATGTATTCAAAATATACTGTGATGAGGAGAAATAGAAAGCTATTCAAGTAATCTAGGAACTGGCACAGGAGGCCCTCGAACACATTTCTTCTAACATCGTTTCCTTGTAACGTTGATGAGAAAAGAAATTGATCCCCGGCAGGGGCCACTGTCTGTGTGGAGTTTGCACGTTCTCCCCACGTGCTGTGGGTTTCCTCCAGGCACCCCGGGGTCCTCCCACATCCCAAGGCTGTGCACATGAGGCTCACTGGCGTGTCCCCGTCTCAGTAACTGTGAGTGTGAGTGTGCCCTGCCATGGGATGCCGTCCTCTCCAGGGCTGTTGCCCGCCTTGGTCCTGAGCTGCCTGGATGGGCTCAGTCCCCTGCCACCCTGAACTGGAATAAGGAGGTTGGAAAATGGAGGGATACAAATTACTGTAAAATAAAAATTCGTAAAGCACACGGTAATCACACAGAGATGCAGGACAATACCTGATGCAGTAGGAAAGGCCCAGCGGGCTGAGAATTGGCTGTTATTTTGAAACTACATGGTAGGGGGAGGCGCTTCAGAGCTTTGGCTTGGCCAACATTACCTTTGATTTAACGCAGCCCCTCCACGACCTGGTCACTCATGGATTCACCAGAAATTGGGTAATGATCTTTCTTAAATGTATGTAGAGCTTATATGTATTTCAGCATTTCATATTAGAAGTGCTTCGGTCTTTATTTAGAAGTTTGGTGATGTTTTTGTGACCAGGAATGTGCTGTGGGAACTTACCTCTTTTTATATCAATTAACATATGGTGAAACTGGTTTCCTTGTACACTGCATGGCTTAAAGCTCCAGTTTCTAAGAACCTATGGATGATGTTAAGTGAGGACTTACTGTATTGAGGGCCTAACTGTAAAAACAGAAATTAATCCCAAGAGAAATTAATCCAATATAATCTAAGGACTAACACTTGTATTAAATTACTCCAACCGAAAGAACAAACTCACTAAGGCGTGAGTGCAGAGACAGAAAAGCAGTGGAACCAAATCTCGGATATCCAGGGTTAGGAGTAAAAACGTCAGTCGCTGCTCAAGTCCTGCAGAGGCTTTGATGATGGTTCTTACTACAACCCTTCACTGTTCCCGTTCAATTCTGGCATCAGGAGATGTTTGAAAGAAGTTCCAACCCATATCTCATCAAGACAACTGAACTCGGAGAAATGGTGGAAAGAATTTAAAATCCTGAAAGATCACTGCCAGAATCTTCTCAGTTCCTGTTTCCAAAAAGCCTATAAGCTGCAGAAGATAGCGTGCATCCCACTAAAAACGGTCGGGTGGTATCTGCAGTGCGCAGTTTAATCTCAAGTTTCTACACGGTAGGCCACTGTCACTAATGTCAAGGTAAGGAGCTTTTGAAACCTGTACTCTTTCAAAGTCCTACGGTATCATTAAGTTTTAGAGTTTAAAATTTAGAATTTAAAGGTATTGACAACGCTTCAAATATCTAGTCCAGCTCCACTTTATAAATGAGAAAACCAAACACCAGGTGAGTCCTTCAATACATAATGAGCCTGTGGCACTGGCAGGGTTAGAAACGTAACCCTTGCCCAGTACTGAAAGCTAAGATGAACAGGAACACGTTGCTTTGTAAATCCCAGTATTAAACGCTCAAGAGGCAGAGCTTGGTGGCAAAAACGACCGTTGGGGTGCCAAAGCAAGTGATTTCAGCTGATTAAACACGCTCAAGAAAAGTACACGAGACCAAGCCTAGGACGTAAAGACGCAATTCTAGTAGGGTCTTGGCGTTTATCTCCTGCCTTCCGAACCCCGCTGACCGTTTTCTGAGATCCTACTCATGCCGGAGGCGCGCGGCGACGAGGCTCCAGTTCCCCTGAAAGCCGACACCACCCTGCGCCTGGGGCCCCTGATGACAGCGGGTCCTACTGGGTTCTGAAATTACCGACGTGGGATCACCGTTCTAAGGTTTTAGGCCGCCGTAAATTCGTACCCTCAGGAAGAGCTGTGGAAACCAACCAGGACCCCGAGTCCCCCGAGGAGGCTGCGCGCCGCTACGGGACCCGACCTCGCCTCACAGCTGCGGCCATCGCCGGCCCGCCTCGGAGGAGGCCAAAGCGAGTCCACGGACCCCCTGGCGGGCCGCCCTTCTTTCCGCCCCCGCCCCAAAGCCTCTCCGTGCCTCGACTGCGCCGGGAACACCGGAACCCAGGGATGTCTGCCCCGGTTCCCTCTGGCAACTCCCCGGCCGCCCGCCCGCCGTTGCCGTAGCAACGCCCGCCTCCGCGCTCGCTCCCCTCGCGCTTGCTTGCCAGCCCCGCCCTGCCCCATACTGCGCATGCTCGCCAGCCCCGCCCGGCCCACACTGCGCATGCTTGCCGGCCACGCCCGGTCCACACGACATTGCGCATGCTCACCGGCCTCCGCCCCGCGCCCCCCGTCAGCGTCGAGACGCAGGTGCGTGCCAGTCGAGGCTCGCTTTGCGGGCGTGTTTGGGGCTTGCCTGGCAGGGTGTTTGGGCGCCGCGGGCTGACGCGCAAGGGAGTGCAGCCGCCCAGGCCTCATGCAGTGACTCGTATAGTGAGGGCCGAGTCCCGCGCGGGGTTCGCTGTAGCCCGCAGCCGCTGGCGGCTTTGTGGGTGCAGCCACGCTCCTCAGCCGCCCGCCCACCTGGGCCTGGGACCCGGTTGTTTCCCTGCGTGTCTGTGGTCGTTCCCGTTCCAGGGTCTCGAGCGCACCGCCCCTTCGCTGCGCTTTTAGTCGAGGGCAGTTTTCTGGGGCATTCCCCGGTCCCCCCGTGCCTCTCGGGCGTCCTGGCCCGCGGAAGCGCGGGCGCCGACTGCCTGGCGTCGTCCGTGACTCCTGGCCCCTCTCTGTGGATCCCTTTGCTTCTCGCTGCGGGTTGTGTTTCCTGTTTCGTGGACCTGGCCGTTTGCGTTGGATGCAGGCCCCGGTGATCCCTGCGTGGCCCGCTGGCCTTTTCCTGCTCCCGAGGTGACTGAGCCGCGTGTGACACATCGCAGTGACGAGGCAACGCGTTCCTTTCCAGGCTTGCAGCAGGCGGTGCTGTTCACGCTCCTGAGCGGAGCCTTCCGGTGCTTTACTCGACGCCCCAAATAGTGCGCTGTTCCTCCCAGGGACTGCCGAGAGCTGGAACTCTTCCCCGCCCCTGTGAGCTCGGGGCTGTTCTTTCTCCGGTTGGCTCACTCCAGCCTCGATGTTTCCTCGCTGCCCAGACCTGCTCGGGAAGACTCGAGAAGGCCGCTCCAGGACTCCAGCTCTCCACGGAAGGGCTTCCCCTCGGATTGCGTCTTGGCCCCTGGAACCCTCTCTCTGTATCCTCTGCTGTTACTCTCTTGGCCTCCATTTGGGTTGTGGCCTGGAAACTCCTGGCTCGCTGCTTCCCTTCTCTTAAGGATCACAGCCCTGCACTGCCTGTCGTCCAATGCCTGGAAACCATTGTATTTTTTGGTCTGATTTTGTAGTAGTTTAAGAACTTAAATCTGGTCCCTCACACTCCATGACCAGAAGCAGAAATCAGTAGAAGTTTGTTTTTTCTTAAAATGACGATTACTTTATTGTGTTGGTTCAATTTATGTTGTACTTTAATTAGAAGAAATTTGGCTGAAAATACAAAGAAAATATACAAATGCAAGTAATTTTTTTTTAAACTTCCCTGAAAGCAAGGTCTGAAGAAATTACCAACCAACTTAGACTGGATCTGGAAGAAAAAGAAGGGTCCTTGCAGTCTTAGGACTCTTCCATTCCGCGACGTAGGTGTTAGGTTAACAGCCATAAATGGTTGTAAGACTTTGGGCTCAGATAAGTAGACTTAAGTTCAAATTTTGACTTATTTTACAAGTATCTGATTTGTGGCAAGCTCATCTTCCTAAACCATGAGCTCCTTATTTGTAAAGGGGACATTAGCCACTCTCCAGCAACAGCCCTGGCGCTTCTTCAGTCCTGGGATGGGACGTATGACTAGCCTAAGCGAACCAGAAAATCCAAGCCCCTGACCACAGCGACTTAATCAGGGCTGGTGATATGTCTAGGTAGGCCAACCAGGTGGACTCAGTATTTTTGTGGGTGCTACTGGAAAATTTCTTCAATTCTAACTGAATGTGGAAATGAGAACAGACATGAAATGGCGGCTGTGTTGCTGTCTTGTCATCATGAGGTGAGGGCCTGAAGCTATGGTAGCCACCCTGTGTACCTTGGAAGGAGGATTCTACAGGAACTGGCAGAGATGAGACTGGGACGCAACCCAGTCCTGGTGACGTATTTGAACCCTGAGGCTGGCCCTCCTGTTAGTCTTTTCACTTACTGGCTTCAGCCAGAGGGGTCTGGTTTTCTGTTACTTGCAACAGGAAGAATTGGAATGATAACTAGGCATGCTATTACCGCCTTATGGCTGTGGTGAGATTAAAACATGATATTGTGGGTGAACTGCTTAGTCCAGTGCCTGCTATTCTTTATATTGGTTTTAAGGTATTTTTCTTGAACTTCATAAAGTTCTAAGAAAAATTACCGTTTTAAAATTCCTACCCTTTGTTCACAAGTTTTAAATTTTCATGATAGTTTTTCTATCTGCATGTTTTCTATTAAAAATAAATTGGTCATTCTTCAGTTAGCTACAAATATTCTAAATTTTTTATTTTTAAATTTGTTTTTTATTGATACATATTAGAAGAACATGTTTTTGGAGTACATGTGATAATTTGATAAATTCATATAATTAAATCAAGGTAATTGAGATATCCATCCCCTTAAATATTTACTGTCTATTTACACTAGGAACATTCAAGTTATTCTAGCTATTTTGAAATGTGCAATCGGTTTGTGTTAAGTATAGGCTTGACTGAAAATTTAACCTTATTGCTTTCTAATTCTTGAGAAAAACAAAGCTAACATAGTTGACATTTGAAGAATAATACATTCATTCTTCTTCAAGATGGTGTATTCTGTCGAAATGAGTTAGATGATCAGAATGCAACATCTTGGATAGGGTTAATTAAAATATATAGTCAACCTGTCTTGTCCCCAATACCGTGTCATCAGTGATTTATATTTTAACGTTATGCCTTTGTTTTAAAAAGATTTTTTTTGAGATGGGCCTAAGAAACTGCATGTATACAAAGCATGTTTGCATCTTCAGAAAACTGCTATTGAGTACATTCCCCATGGTGCTGTTCATTGCCATTTGTGTAGCCACCCACATGATTATTTTAGAATTTCAAAATCATTAATTGAATGTCCTAGGAATAGTGGAGACGGAAGAGAAAATTAGAGGTGCATGATGGTAAGGATGATGAGGTTGTGTTTAGTCACGAGGAGAAGGGCACCAGTGTGCTTGGCTGATTAAGATGCACTTCTGTACTCCACTATGCTTAAGAAGAAAGCTGCATGTGGTAACCGTAAGAGATCTGTTGTATAAACATTGTCACAAAAAGAGTCACGAGCAGCCCAAGATGGATGGCAATAGTGGACTATTTAAGTGGAAGACATTGATATGAAGGGAAAAATCTTATATTTTGCTTGTGTAGAAGGCAATTCAGAGAAAGTGTTCAAATACTAGAATAGGCAGTTGGAGTCCATCTTGTGGAGGTTGGGGTTTTTTTCATGATGACACTAGAGACACGTTATTGGAGACTGGTGCTGGCACTGTATGGATTTTTTTTTTTTTTTTTTTGAGACAGCGTCTCTCTCTGTCGCCCAGGCTGGAGTGCAGTGGTGCCATCTTGGCTCACTGCAACTTCTGCCTCCTAGGTTCAAGCAATTCTCCTGTCTCAGCCTCCCGAGTAGCTGGAATTAGAGGTGCCTGCCACCACGCTTGGCTAATTTTTGTATTTTTTAATAGAGATGGGGTTTCGCCATATTGGCCAGGCTGGTCTTGAACTTCTGACCTCAGGTGATCCTCATGCCTCGGCCTACCAAACTGCTGGGATTACAGGCGTGAACCACCGTGCCCAGCCTATGGATTCTTAATGTATCACACCCACGGGATTTGAGTTTGCCCACCTGCCTAGTCTCTAAATACTGCACTAATGGAAGCCTAGGTAGGGTCAGAATGGTTCTTAATTCAATATCCTTCTCACATTTTAATATCTTAATGCTCTCACATTTCTCCTTTGTTATCTACTAAATATTCTCAAAACCTACTCAGTACATATTTGACTCTTGTCTTTCTTAACACAGTCCTTGACATCTAAAACAAACCTAAGGAGCAAAAATTGGTGGCATGGGTTTCATCTTTAATTTAGCTTTCAATTTTAACCTTCACCAAAAACCATCTCTCCTTCCATTTATTTATCTTAATCTTCAGTATTACCTTTAACTTTCTACTCACATTTGTATATTTATTACCAATTTCTATTCCTAAACTTGCTGATGTGGTTTGGCTGTGTCCCCACCTAAATTTCACCTTGAAATGTAGTAATTAATCCACATGTGTCAAGGGCAGGGCCAGGTGGAGAGAATTGAATCATGGGGACAGTTTCCCCCATACTGTTCTTGTGATAGTGAATAAGTCTCACAAGATCTGATGGTTTTATAAATTGGAGTGGCCCTGCACAAGCTCTGTCTTGCCTGCTGCCATGTAAGACCTGTCTTGCTTCCCGCTCGCTTTCCACCATGATTTTGAGACCTCACAGCCATGTGGAACTGTGAGTCAATTAAACCTCTTTCCTTTACAAATTACACAGTCCCGGGTGTGTCTTTATTAGCAGCATGAGAACAAACTAATACACTTGTTTCCATCCAGATTATTTTTTCAAAGAATTCTAAGTCGCTTCCTGTTTTTTTTTTTTTTTCTGTATGTGAGGACCAGCAATTGTTTGGAAATTTGCCAGTCTCTCCTAGTGTTTTGTAGCAGCAGTTGCTGTAAAGTCTCAGGTATACTAGTGGGAACTTACTGAAGTGTGTTTTTTCCTTGAGATTATATTATAGTTCTGTTTTGTCTTTAATAATGAAAAAGGGCTTAGGATGAGTTGTTTCCACTCCTCTGACAAAGTGCATTTAAAAAAAATACTGTGACAGACATAAGATGATTACGTCATTCCTGTCAACATTAAAATAGTAGTAGAGAAACACTGATGAAAACACTTCCGACCCTGGAGAAGAGAGGAGAAATCTTGTTTTCATTCTTACTCTATAATTTAAAGTCATGGTTATAACAAATGAGCCTTTAAAAACTGTTTTCTGAATTTAAAAA